CCCCAAAACCCCAAAACCCCAAAACCCCGAGAATCATTCTATTTAAAGTATAGACTGATGTCAGAAATAAATACCTATGATAATTATAATTATTAATTGCAAATATTAGTATAAAGATGCAAGAAGAGATAAAGGAAGAAGGAGGAGAGCCACATCAATGCAATGATCCTAATCATGATCACTCCCAGCATTCCCATCCCTAAGGACATCCTCATGGCCATCCCCAAATGAGACCATAAATGTAAACTCTAGAGCCACATCAATACAAGAGTTGGATCTGCATCTATCCATGCTACTTCAACTCAAACAAATCACTTCAAGACGGTATAAGACCTGATAGATTAACCATTTATAGGTAGAAGAGTCCCTAAATCAAAAGCTGTGCCAAATCCGTAACTTTAGGAGTTAACTCATCTACTATAATTTGTCAAAATCAAGCATGTTATTGAACCAGTAAAGTTATTATTTTGTTTGATTTAATGATAGCACAAAATGCACCCAAAAGATTGGCTTCATCCAGGCAGAATAAAGGTTCAAGTGTTTGACGAATTGGGAAACAATACTCATCCAAAGATTCTAAATAGTATTTAAAATACACAGTTTGTTATTAATAATTAATAGAGAAGCTACTTTTCGATTGCATTTGTGATTTATTGCCAAAGCACAAGGTTAGAATGGAAGCCCCACCTAAAGAGATTATTGATGAAAAGAGAAATCAAGTACTCGCTGCCTTAAAGAAAGAGAGACTAGAAAGATAGAAGGATTACAATAAGAGGGGTATCAGAACAACAAAGAAAAAGAATAAGCCAGTTACAGCTTGAGCTGAAAAGCTATCTTGAAATGAAAGATGAGAAATTTCAATAGGATGATTGTTTTTTTGGTTTAAAGAAATTGAAATATCTCACTAATATAGGTAGACATTCATGCACTTATATAAATTAATTACTAAAAATTATTAAAATTAATTTGCAATTATGGAATAATATAAAGCTAGAGCAGATAATAAATTGCACGAAGAATTTAATCTGTTTGCATAGTCTGATGAGGCTGCTGCGTTTATTCACGGAACTTACAAAGTTTAGTTCTAAATCAATTACAAAACTGACTTTGGCCAAGATGTGTACATTGTTGGAGGGGTACCAGAATTAGGTAAGAACTAAACTTTTAACTTTTAATAGGTGCTTGGAAAAGTTTTGTTCAAAAGCTGAAGTGGACTGAGGTATTCATAAAAGATATGAAAAATTTTAGGGACATAATTGGGTTTCAAATGCTATTTAAATCAACAGAGACTATTTTGAGTATAAATATGTTGTAGTTGATAGTAAATCAAAGACAGCCATTAGATGGGAGCAAGGATTTAATAGATTAGCTGATCTCAAATTGCTGTAAATAGAATAGCCTAGGAGTTCAAATCTATTGCAAGGTAGTTTAATGATTAGATTTAATCCATATGTAGTTGATATCTGGGAAAGTTTCATTATAGTATTCTCAATCTATTACCCTCTGAAAGATGAAGTTAATGAGTTCATGAGGATCAATGGAGATCTTGAGAAACTAGGACTGTGGAATAAAGGTACAGGTCCAATTAGGATGACCAAAGGAGAAGAAATCACATGGCTTACTGGATAAAAAGTTAGACCATGGGAGTTTAAAGTGAAATTATCACATTTGGATTTTAAGCAGAGAGTAACTTACAAATACTCTATTAAAAATGATAAAGAAGATTATACTATTTGGGAAAGAGAGCCATCAAGGTATGCTTAAATAGGAGAGCCTCATAATTATGATGGTCTATTAGGATAGAGAGGCACATCTAGATGGCCTAATGTAGAGAATGTATATATAGTAAATGGAGTGATCAACAAGGCTGATGCTAATTTTGTAGGAGGACTTTCATTCGATAAGATCGCAGATACTGGAATTTTCATTGGTCCTTACCCATAATTAGAGTAGGATGTGAAAGTTATGAGTGAAGCAGGAGTAACAGGTGTGTTAAATGTATAGACTGAGATAGATATTGCTCATAGAGGCATCAATTGGCCAAGAATGGTTGAGTATTACAATCATTATGGAATAAAGCCAATTCATTATCCTATTCATGACTTTAATGAAGAAGATTTGAAGGCAAAAATCAAAGGTGGAGCTGAAATACTCAATCAAATGATAAATGATGAAGGACTTCAAGTGTATGTACATTGCACTGCCGGAATGGGAAGAGCTCCTGCTTGCGTCCTTACTTATCTTTGTTTATACTAAGATATGGAGCCAGATGAAGCTGATTTATTTGTAAAATAACACAGGAAAGTTTCAGTTCCAAATATGAGAGCTGTTAAAGAGATAGTCAGCAAATATAAATGATTATATTTAAAGATGTTGTTTAGAAATTTAATCTTGATTTTACATATCTAAGAATCTCTTAAACCATAGACTAATTCAAAACATTTTACTACATATCATTATTCTTTCTTTGAATCTTAGTTTTCCTCTTTAAGATAGATGCCAACTACTCCTTGATACTTTTCATAAGTTTGCATTTCTGCCAATGCATATCTTAGCTATCTTTCAAAATTTAATGTCCTCATGCAATAATCGAAAATTCCTGCTTCATTTAATAGCTAATTTTTCCTCTTTTAGCAGTAAGAATTCCCATAGTAAAAACTAGCTATTGCTACTAGAGCCATTGGCATCCTTAATTATGATTTTAGATTTAATAAAGCGAAACATTGAAAACCTATGAGACCCCCAAGATAGCGATGATTCATTCTATTTTCCTTTACTATTTCTAAAAACTTATGCTCATTAATTGGGTCTTTAAATTGATAAGCGACATCAAATTTTTCTGGAATAATCAAACCTTCTGTATCCACCTTAGTTCTTTCTCCTAAATATCATCTGAATAGTTCATCTTATTCATATTTAACTCTGAAAGTATTCAGTGACTCTTCATAATTAAAAACTTGTTCCATTTTAGCTATATTAATTTTATAACCTTCCATTCACTAGTCTGCTAAATTCAGTGGGGTTTTGGGGTTTTGGGGTTTTGGGGTTTTGGGG